TCATTTATTTATTTATTTATTTATTTATTTATTCTTTAATATACTATTTTGCTTCCCTTCTTTTCTCTCATTGTTCTGATAACGTATGCATGCATTTTACATATTCGTTTTTAGCAGTGTAACGTTAATTGATGACGCAGTTTGTTCCACGTCTGCTCATCAAACAATGTCTTCGTTATGTATCGTCTGCATGGTATTGTGTTAGTATTATGGGATAGACTAACTGACTCAAAATTATGTTGCCCTCGAAACAAAGCGAACAACAGGAAGAATGACAGAGAAGGAAGAACGAGAGATCCGGACAGCTGCTGGCAAAGTCTACAACTACTAGTCAGTATGACTGCTGGCTTATCAAGGTGGGCTGGGCCACCCCCTTGTTCGTTTTGCCGTCATGTAATTTTCTTACGGCAGCATGGAGGATTGGTTCAGGACAATGGTCGGGGTGAGGCAAGGATGTTTGCTCTCTCCCACTCTCTTCAACATCATCCTAGAAAGAATCATGACTGACTCACTGGAAGACCACAATGGAACAATCAGTATTGGAGGTAGGACAATCACAAACTTGCGTTTTGTCGATGACATTGATGGATTAGCAGGAGAAGAGCAGAAGCTCACCACACTAGTGGAGCGGCAGGACACAACCTCAGAGGCATACGGCATGGAGATCAATGCCGAGAAAACCAAGCTAATGACCAATGACACCAATGGCATCAACACGGACGTCACCACAGCGAATAGACGAAAATTAAAATAGTATGGGTATGTCACAAGATCCACAGGACTTGCCAAAACAATCCTACACAAAACCGTTCAAGGAAAGAGAAAGAGAGGAAGGCAGAGAAGGAGATTGGAGGACAACATCACAGAGTGGACAGGGAAGACGATGGGTGACAATGTGATGAAAGCAGAGGATAGAGAGAAAAGGCGAGATCTGGTTGTCAGATGCAGTGGTGCTCCCACGGTTACCCCACTCACGGGATAGAAGAAGAAGAATTTTTTAAATCTCCATTTAACTTATTACTTTTCTGTTCTTTCCCTTCCTTGTAGTATAGTTCCCTTTAATTCACTGAAGAAGCACAGTGCTTGAACACGTGTAGTTTTGGAGCGTTAAAAAGGAACAAAACTTACTTATTCACTCAGATTGTTCAGTTCAATACAAAGAGACAGGAAACAACATGTATACTATTCTAGGGTATCGAATAGGCGTCCCCCCCCCCCCACGCTTATTAATTTTCGTGGGTTTTTTTGCGCGCATCCCCCCTACCCCCACCCCGCTCCTTATTCCATACCCCGTTTATTATTTTTCAGCTTGCCACGACCGACGATCAGGTGAAACATTTTATCTAGAACCTAGATATCTGAACGGAACTTCTTTTTTTGTTTGTTGTTTCTGTTGTAGATTGCAAATTACTCCCAGTATTAGTACCGGTACCGGGTTGGCTTCCTTTTAAAAACTTTTGTACATTGGTTTATATTTTGTAATGAAACTGGTTTGTTCCTAAATGGGAAAAGTTGTCACAGTAACTTAATAAAATCACTACAATGTCATTGTCTCTTGTTCTTTTTATTCACTGAAGGAGAAATAAAACAGATTTGTTCCTACTAGTACAGGTGGTAGGAGGTTGAATGTGCCAGCCGCCTGCATAACTCAAATATCCATGTCGGTTCTGCACTTTCTAGGTTAATCCACTGCAAATCACATGACTTCACCACGTGGTTAGGCTAATAATAGCAAACCACGTATGAAGTATTGAAAATAGAGTTCGTCAGGATTACTTAATTATTATTATTATTATTATTATTATTATTATTATTATTATTATTATTATTATTATTATTATTATTATTATTAATAATGATAAATAGCATTTATACTGCGCATTTCCATTTCCTAAAAGATGCTCAATGCGCATTACAATGAAAAAGACATCACATCTTAAAAATTAATCGACACAAATGTGTACGTAAAACAAAGTATTATACATATAATATAAATGCATATGTGTAAAATTTTATACCAGAAAAACAGTCTCGCAGTGAGGTTGAAAATGTGTTCACTAAAAATATTCAATGCAATATAAATTCACGAACAGTCAAAATACAGTTGAAACGTGAGTAACTAGAAACATTCATTAAAACATTAATTCTATACAGATAGAAAAACATTTCCGCTCTCTCTCTCTCTCTGTCTCTCTCTCTGTCTCTCTCTCTCTCTCTCTCTCTCTCTCTCTGTCTGTCTCTCTCTCTCTCTCCCTCTCTCTCTCTCCCTCTCCCTCTATCTCTCTCTCTCTTTCTCTCTCCCTTTCTCGCTATCTCTCTCTTTTCTCTCTCTATCTCTCTTTTTTTTCTCTCTCTCATTCTCACTCGCTATTTCTTCAGTCTCACAGTCTGGCATACACATGCATATATATCACAGTACATCATTATGACAGGTATGCTTTTGTGAATAAAAAATGCTTCAGCTGATTTTTGAAAATGGAAATTGTTGGGGCAGATCTTATTTTATATGGGATTTCGTTCCATACCTGGGGACCAAAGAACAAAAAGGAACGCTCGCCGTATGTTTTGTAGTTTTGTTTTGTAGTTTTAAGAATTAGATTGTCAGAGGCTGATCTAAGGGCTCTAGGTGGATTATATAATTCCAGGAATGTTTTAAGATAAAAAGGTGCACTATCATTTATACATTTAAAACAGAGAACGGCAGTTTTGTATTTAATCCTTTCTTTTATTGGCAGCCAGTGTAGTTCTTTCAGAATTGGTGTTACGTGGGCTGATTTCTTTTGTTTCATTATAAATTTTGCTGCTTGATTTTGAAGTACGTGTAACTTTGATAGTTTTTCGGATGTCAAACCGGACAAAATAACATTACAGTAATCTAACTTTGATAAAATGAGTGTTGTTACAAGTGTCTTGGCTGCTGCTTTAGTTTAGTAAATTCTTACACTGCCAATTTTCTTAAGCTGAAAGTAAATACTTTTGCTGAGCTGGCTTATTTGGGAGGACATAGACATATCATAATCCAACTGAACCCCTAGATTTTTAAGACTTCTTTTTGAACGAATGGTATGGTTATTAATATCAATTTGTAGCTCTGGGAGATTTTTAATGGCTTTTGTATTTCCACTCAACATTATTTCCGTCTTGTCATCATTTAGTTTCAATTTATTGCTGGTCATCCATATTTTTAAATCTCTAGTACATTGTTCAGCAGAGTCGACTAAAAGTGGTATTTGATCGAAATCAATAGACTTATAAATTTGAGTGTCATCAGCATAAAGATGGTAATTCATGCCATATTGTCTTAAAATATCTGCAATAGGTTGTGTATACATTGTAAACAAGACAGGTCCAAGAACAGACCCCTGAGGAACACCACATCTAAGCAAAACATTATTAGAACACGTGTTTCCAACCACAACTGCTTGTGTTCGATCCTTAAAATATGACTCAAACCATCGCAGGACAGTACCCTTTATACCAAAAGTAGTATTTAATCTCTCGAGTAAAATACCATGATCAATGGTATCGAATGCAGCCAAAAGGTCCAAAAGAGTAAGAAGACAAACCTTTTTTTCATCAATATATTTTAAAATATCAGTACAGACCCTAAGTAACGCTGTCTCGGTACTATGGTGTGCCTTATATGCTGACTGATAGACTTCGCTAAAATTATTTGTTTTAATATGATGTAACAGTCTATTAGATACAACTTTTTCAAGAATTTTGGAAAGGAAAGAAAGATTTGAAACTGGTCTAAAAAATGTTAAGTCCTTTTCATCAAGTCCAGATTTTTTCAAAAGGGGTCTTATATGGGCTGTCTTAAAGCAATTTGGTACTGTGCCTGTGAGGAGAGAATCATTTACAATTTGGGTGATATATGGAAGAAGTTCATGCAAACATTTTTTTAAAAGGCTGGTGGGCATAATAATATTATTATTATTATTATTATTATTATTATTATTATTATTAATTATTATTATTATTATTATTATTATTATTATTATTATTATTATTATTATTATTATCATTATTATTATTATTATTATTATTATTATTATTATTATTATTATTATTATTATTTTAAATTAAAAGTTTCATTCTTGCATAAATTAGAGTCTCACCCCCTGGATGCTCTTACTATTATTGGCATTTGATGAATGAGCTGATGTTACCATGAAAAGAAGAAGATCATAATATTTCACTGGCTAATGCGAAGATAATAATATAAACCTAGCTAATACTATTGTAGATATAGTCTAGCAGAACTAATTTACAGAATTAGTGTTTGGATATTTTCGTGGCATATGTCCACCATGTCTTTACAAAACGAACAAGGCGAAACGCGCTCAATGGAAGACGCCATCTTCACTGGTTGCTTAGCCTATATATCAACAAACGAAATCCCGTGACAGTCGGTGAAGTGACCTAGAAAGTGCAGAGTAGTCATAGATATTTGAGTTATTCCATCCGCCCCCCCCCCCTTTTATTAATTTTAGACCACTTGTCCACCTCCCACCCCGTTTATTTCTAACCCCCCCCCCCCTTTAAAAAAAATAAATTCGATACCATAGAGTATGAAAGGGGCAAGTTCGTGTTTCCAATTTATGAAGGATCGTTCGGGTGTGCTGCAGCGCTGTTTCTGATCTTCTGCTAATCTGACATGATACTGTGTGTCCGGTTCGTTCGCCAAGAGAGCTGTGAGCCGTCCTATAGGAAGGTGTGAGGTTAGCGTACCAAAGACACCCTGGAAATGTCTGAAATACTTCAACATGCCTTTCTCAACATTGAAAAACCTATCTCCTGACAGACCCGCTAGGAGAGGAGCAGTCACAGAGGGCAGCAAGTCATTTAATGAGGCTTCACGAACAAGACATTTTAGCCCAAAAAGTAAATTGTTTTCAACAGAGAAAAAAAGTGTCATTTTTTCCTAAGAACTGTATGTATATTGTGTTTTCCAGAATAGTATTGCTTTTTTCCCAACATTTAAAATTTGAATTTCGACGGAATATTTCTTGAGCACACGCAAGAAATACAGATTAAGAAACTGCAATTAAAAAATCGAACGTTTGGGTTTAGTACATTTGAACAGCTGGCCGACGAAGTAAAGATACTGACAAGTTGCTGACACTTTACTGTGCTTGAATAGGATAACATGTATATATATATATATATATATATATATTTCTACGCCCCCAACTATACATTTTAGAGCATTTACGAGGAGGTGGGTTTCCGACCTTTCCTGCCTGAGCCAACATGGGCTGAGAGGGATACAACATCCCTGCAAAAATACCGAAATACTCGATAGAAAATGACTTTCTCTGTCGGAAATTGAACTCAAGTCTCATTTGTGCAACAGCGAAATGCATAGCAGCTTAACCATGTTTCAACAGCTATGTTCAGACTTTCATGACTGTAAAATATAAAAATGCTGATTTTACAGAACAGAGAAAGTTGCAATTTGGCGTATTACATAATCAGTGCGTGTGACTGCTTATAAGAGTGACCCAAAAGGAGTGAATGGGGTATTAATTGGCTGAGCTCATTGGCGACTGCATAAATGTCTATTTAAATTCATGAGGCTTAGTGAGGATGTTCCTGAAGGAAGGGAAGCAATGATTATACGAGTATTAAACCCTTCGGCCCTGATTATGAACTGTGAGAAACACAAAACTGAGAAAAACACATTCAAAGGGAAGCAATTATTTTCATGAACACTTTAGGAAAGTATTCAAATAAAGTTATAAATGCTTC